AAAACTGAGAGCCAGATTATGGTTCTCTTTCGAGTATGATTCAGGAGTAATTGAACTGAAGTAAAATTAAACTCATGTGAAACAGATGTAAGTGGGTTCAGACAGACTCAGTGCTTTGCAATTTTAGTGAATAATTTCTTACATGACAAAAAAACCCCAAACCCTACCATATACTAATACACTAATGATGTGTATGTACTTTTCCAGATAGAACTTTTAAAGTTCTACTTTTTAAAGTGAGATAACTACTACAGTATTGTCCCTGCTAGCCATACAAAGAGACTGATATAACAGGTGTCTGAAAGCTGGAGTCTGGCTAATGAGGAATGGGTATCAGCAAAGAACCAAGGATGATAAAGATGATTATAAACTGTGAACCAGGTGAACCCCCTCTTCTCTTCTGGCACTTAGATGATTGATGTGTGAGGATGTGAGAGACAAGATCATAGTGTGTTCTGTTTAGAATCACTGGCCAAAGGAACTGCAGACAGGCTATGGTACCATCCCAGCAAAGGTTATTACTGATGTGTAGTTGCCTCATGTAGATTCACTGTTTTCAATGAAACCATTTCTGCCAATCAGCACATTTTCTATTCTGTGGATAATCCATGAAATAATGAAAACGTGACACACTGCATGCTATAACTTAAAAAGTGATAAGAAACTCCACGCAATAGAAGACAATAAAGATAACAGGTTGCTTTTCCTTGCACAGTCCTGATTCTTAGTTAACTCTCTGATTCCTAATGACACTAAACCTGTAAACTATTGGAAAAAARATAGCCTTCAGATTGTCCTAAAGAAAAGGCTTTAAACGTTCTCCTCAACAGAAAGCTTCCTAGACAGTAAAGACATTATAAAGGATTCTGCACTGGATCATGTCCAAATTAATACTACTGCAGAATGGGTCAATAGAATATAAAGAACAGGATGCAATTCGCTTGGGTTGCTGTCTTGGTCTCAGTGTAAATAACAGCATTCCTGTGGCAATAAACTGAATGAAGAATAATCTTCACAATACCACATTTCAAACTATAGAGTTAACCATAATCTGAATAGTTATATACACAAATGAGTGTATGGTTAAGTGATGACACAAAGACTGTCTAGACTTCTATCTAACCATGTCTCATTTCTTCAGAGCATCTAAGAAATGGAACATACAAGTTACAGATGATTACTATCCACTTTCAAAGGAAAGTCATTTTTCCATTCCTACTCACTGGATTTAAGTAGGTATAAGAGGTATTTATTAATCTGTTTTTCTATGACTTTGAATTACATCACATTCACTTTTAAATCACTCATGCCATATTACTAATGAATGGTAAAAGAGCACTTAGGTTTTTTTTTTTTTTTTCAATGAGATAGCTTGTAATAGAAAGCCTCTTTTCTGTTGTGTTGTGACTGTCACATGCCCTGTCCTGTAAGGCACTGATTCTCAACTAACTCCAGCTCTGAGGTCATTTAGTCTGAACAATAAGCCCTAAATGAGAAGGAAGAATTTAGGAAGACCAGTCAAATCCTGAAAATTCTTATCCAGTTACTAAAATAGTTTGAACATGCTACATTTAGAATTTTTTTCTTGGTGATCTTTTATTTAAACATAAAGCATTACTGAATCCAYTTGGCTTATAAAAGCTGACAGAGTAACAGCTTGAAACTCTATAGCTTCAAGGCACCAGTTTTGCCTGTCATAAGAATATGACATCACTGAGGGGTGAAAGGCCTTTTCTTTGCATAGGATAATAGTTACGTTTCTATGCAGCAGCTGTGCTGTCAGTGAAAGATGCACTCATTGTGCCAAATCTATCTCTGGAGTAACCCCATTGATTTTAAATTAGTTACTTTGGGAATAAATTGGCCCACTCAATAAAACTGCAGGTTTGAGGCATTGAAATAATTGAGCAAGTTTTCCATGATCATAACATGGAAAAAAATTGCAAAACAATTACATGATGCCATGAATTTACGATCCTGACAGTTCACAATTGATTTGCCACAAGGTTTTTCAGTCATACAGCTTGAGCAGGTATGTAGAGATTACAGACACTTTTTGGGAAGCTGAGAACATTAAGGGGACACAAGAAACATGAATATGGTATTGTGTCATTATTATCTCTTTAGTGTCACCGTAAATCAAACAAATACGAGATGTCTCCATAATGCCATTCTCRTGAAAATTCCCCTTCTTCAGACAGTAAGAGTAGTGACACGTTTCTGGTAATGAGCTACCTGAAGACTATAGACTTCCTGCATATCTTAGCAGGGTTTTAATGCTGTTGGCTTTTCAGTGGATTGTTTCAGTTTGAGTATCTTAGGTGATCACAGGAGTCTGTGGCAGAATATACATTTCATCAGTTAACTGCTGATAGTTATGGCAGAGAGACAAGGTAATGCTTGGGTTAGGGTGATGCAATTGAGTAATATTTGTGTCTGTGTTAGGTTTTCCCTAGTAATGCACAAGGAACATGCCAGTAAGCTGGAAACCTTCAAATACTAAGGAAAWGTTGTTTACACACATATATGTTATATATGTATGTATAAATAAATGAATAGCTCTTTATTGATACCTATTTGATAGCTGATCTTGTTGGGGGTTGAAAAGGCTTCTTTGAAGCCTTTTAGGTTACTGTAACAATGATTCAAGCGATTACACAGCACAATTAGCAGAGCCTACCCTCACTTTTGTTCCCATTCAGTTTGCAGATGTCAACAGAAATCCTGAATCGTGTTCAGAATGCATCATGTCTTGATTGCAAAGGAAATACCGTGTACTCCTGATGTCATCATTGCAATCATCTCAAATTCAAGTCTGACTGAGCAGGCTCATTATCATTCTCACCATGTCCTTCCTTAGAGCAGCCTCTCCCGCCTCCTCCTGTACAGCACAAAACAAGAGCCACAGGGGTGCTTGGATTAGGGGAAGGAGAGACTCCCAGCACCTCCCCCAAGAAAACTTGCTGCATTACTTCCATCTAGTTTCTTCAAACTACATGCTGCTTTACAGGACCTTGCACACCACCACTAAATGAAAGGGTGGATTCCCCAGTACTGATTTCCTCTTCCTGTTTAGGGTTGAACAAAGACTGGGGAAAAGCGTGGATTTAGTTTCAGAATATGGATGTGAAAAGAGTCTGCCAACCTCCACAGAAAGAGTTTCCTGAGGAGAGCCATACATTTTTGGCTGCTTTGGTTTTGGGGTTTTTTTCTTCATCCAGGCAGATGTCTCCTTTTGGTCTTACAATGTTARGTAACATTTGAGCAACAGATAGGAAAGCAAGACAGAAAAAGGGCAGTTGAGGAAAAAAAAAAGGCAAAAAGCAAGGCACAAATTATTACAGGCACCAGGTTTAGATCACAAACATGTTTCCTGAAATTTCAGGTCTATGGACCTCTTGACTGATTCTGGTATGGGTCTCTGAGCATGACACACGAGAATTTGTGGATCTCTTTAGTAAGCCGTCCCCCGTGGATGATCTCCTTCAGACAAAGAGTTGATTTGCACTGTGGAAAAGAATAGGCAGGACAGGGTTAACTTCACACAGTTTTCCTTCAGGCCCCCAGAGGGGCTGGGGTTTTGTTTTCCTGGCTAAGGGAGGGGATCTGGGGCATGTATTGTAACTGGAACTGGAGACCTTTCTGGTGTTCCTAGCCTGTTGTGGGTTTGAGAGAAAGCCTGGAGGAAGAGGAGGGTGAATGCAGACTTGTAAAGCAGCAAGTGCCTGGTAATTTCACAAGTGTCCTCAGTTTCCCTGAAGGCCCCTGAGAACTTAYGGGGGCTTCGAGGGGTCTCCAGCTTCCTGCCCCTCCCTGCAGTTTGGCCACATCTTCCAGCCTTGCTGTGCCCAGCACTGCCTTGCTGCAAAGTGTCTGTCCCTGCCACAGTGCGGGTCGGGGACAGAAAGCGGAGCRGGGTCCCCTGGCTTTCGGGGTACCAGGTCCTGGTCCAGAGCCTGCGGGGGCTCCTGCGATCCCTTGCTCTTCCCCTCCCCCTGCGCTGCAGAGCCTCTGGATGCTGCCGTACTCCTGCCATGTGCTGCCGCCGCCGCTCCTGCTGCTTGTAGCTTAGTCGAGCGCGTCTCCGGCGGCAAACTCCGCCAAACAAGCCCGCATCCCCCTCTCGGGAAGGATACCCAGTGAGTACCAGCCGGAGCCTGCCCCCTCCCCAGGCACCCCGCCGCTGCCTCTTACAAAGGGACTCGCAGGCTCTCCCCACCCCCTTTTTAAGCCAGTGCAGAGAGGGGCTCCGTGAATTCCCTCCAAAGCTATAGGGTGGCTCCCCCCTCCTCCTCCTTCTCTTCCTGCTCCGGCTCTCCTGGGCGAGCCAGGCTGCTGCTGCATTGAGCCGGGGTGGTCCCCAGCCTCGCCCCWGCCTCGCCCCAGCCATGCTGCTGCAGCTCACTCCTTATGGCTGACTATTGCTACCCCTCTAATGCCCGGGGCTGAACTGAGGTGGGCTCGTTTTTGGGGGGAGGCTGAGGCTAGGGAGCGTGTGCACGTGTGGGAGGTGTCTCTGGGGGCGTGGGGGGCTGGCCGACTCCCCGATCCTTGCAAGCCTGCGTTCTCGCCAGCCCCGGTGCCCCTCGGTGGGCGCAGCAGAGGGGCTGCACTGCAGCGGGGACCCCGCCACCCTGACATCTGCAGGTGGATGGGGCGAGACAGCTGTGGGAGCCTCCCCGGGAGCCAGCAGCACCTTGGACCCGCTGCCTATCTCAGTCTGCTCTGCTCCTGCTCCCCTACATTCTCAGTCCATCCCTTATACCCCTCTCTGTGCTGGGGTCCCTGCAAACCCCTCCACTCCACTCCCCTGCCCTCCCCTCCCCTCCCCACCTTCTTCGATTTATTTGTGTATTTCTTTCCTTGGCAACCACCAGCTCCCCTCTGTCAAACAGCGCAGGCTCCCTATAATTTGAAATTAATTTGTTTGACTGCAGCATCGAGACAGGAAGGTTGGGAATTTATTTAATTCTTTTTACTCCCTTTGCAAAAAGGAAGCAATGAAATTTCCAATTGAGACTCCAAGAAAACAGGTGAACTGGGATCCTCAAGGTTGGTGATTCTCTATTACTATCATATCTACAATAATAACAATTATTATTCCTTGTGACTATTGACTCGTAGGAGATTATTTGACTCCAAATGGGAGGAGGTGTTGGATGTTTGTTTCCCATGTGCACTGTTCAGTCTTTCTGCCTCAATCCTTGCAGTGCATTAGAAAATACTACCCAGATGTGGCGTTGGGTGGCTGAGTGGGTAAAATCTCTTCTAGGTGTAAGTTTTACAGTTTTGTGTTTGATATCTCTCTTCTCTCCCCCCACTCCCTTTTTCTTGAGTATTTTCATGGCAAACTTGGCTGGGATGGCAGTGATCTCTGGCTCACAGCATTGTTTGTTTTATCAGTGGCTCCTTTGTTGTTTCTAGTGATCATTGTCTCTGCTAAATGGSTGGTACAGGAGAGGACACAGATAGGACTGCTTGTTCAGGGCTCCTTCACGGCACATGTTTGTTGGCTGGAGCAAAATGCTGCTACAATATAACATTTAGTGTGGACGGACCTTTAGTGTGGGTGGTATAAAAAGACACATTAAATAATGGAACCTAAAGGGACTTTTACACTCTTTACTCTGTCCTTTTAACAACTGACCAGCCCAAGTGGATGGTTTGTTTGACTATAGAAGTACATTTGGAATCAGTCAGTGTTTGTGTGATGATGGAAGGAGATTTATGCCAGTGCAGTGGTTTTCAATAAAATGATCCAAATGGTATTTAAAAATAAACTGTAATCACATACTCTCATTGCCTGACATGGGGAAGAAGTTAATCTGCATCCTACAGAAGTGACTGGAAAAGCTCCACTGGTAATTTGTGTACCGGTGTGTCATATTTCTTTGCATTGGTACAGGAGCACAACAACTTGAAGCCGTTGCTCAGTTTTGCAGCAGAACTGCTGGCAGCCAGTCGCTGTACAGCAGTGCTTGCAGGAAGTATAAGTGATAGCATGGGCTTTGATTATTTCTCTTCATTACACAGGTTTGGTTTTAGTGGTCAATTTGCCTGTCATCATCCATGCCCTCACATTTACAAAATGAAACATTAGAAACAGTTTCTCATGGTATAGAAGGAATACAGCAGAACAATCTATTGTGTACACAGTTCAGCTTTACTTTAAGCCTTGGTTCTTCTAATTAGGTGAATGCTGAAATCGACACATCAGCCTCCTCTGCCCTCATCTTCCCAACAAACCCATGGATAGTAGTGCTAACAGATTATTTAAATAACTGTATATTCCTTATCCTAGGGTCAAAATTCTTTGTGGTGAAAACTTGCTCTACCCAGGTTCACGCTGAATGTGTGATTGCTGCAGCTTAATTTTAATCCATTTTATGTATTGCAAAAAGCTCTTTCCTTCTTTCCTCTGACAAGGCACACGGGAGGATGTAGGGATGACATTCTGTGTGCAGCTCCTTTGCTTGGCAATCAGCTTTAAAGCATATGGATCCAACAGGTGGCTGACCACAATTTACTGATGTGACAAAACTGTAGAGTACTGTAGCAGTTAAAAGACCTCAAACCCAGCAGGTTCTTCAATGCCAAGCTGAATGCCTGCTAAAAACTGCAGAATCCTACCAGTTATTTCCCCTCAGTGTATTGACTTTGTTAGGCAGGCAGATAGGTTTCTGATCTATAGCCAAGAAGAAAGCAAAAAATGTTATTTTCTAGTTCTCCGAGAGATTCAGAAAATAGATAAGATTTGGTGGAATGGAAAAAAAGGCAATTTGGCAAGAAAAGCTGTCTAAGGCCCAATCCTTTAACCAACAGAGAAACAGTGCAGTGACACTGTACTCACATAGTCCCACTGAAGAATTGTGTGTGTCAAAGACAAGGAAGATGAGTTCTATTATTTTTGAAACAAAAACATACTTATATAGATACAAATGTCAGCAATGATCTTAATAAAAATCTTAGCTTTAACTAAAAGCTTTAAAATGAATTTGATTTACAGTCACATATGTAGTTTGTTTTCTTCATGAACCTGTGAAGAATGATGTTATGTTTTGCGTCTGTGTGTTATCTTTGGAGTTAAGAGCTGAAATAGCTTTTCTCAGATACAAAGAACAACACATAGAACATTGGTGGTGGAGGGATGCAAAGAATCTAAATATTAGAAGCACAGCTCATGTCCAGTTAATATTCACACTTTAATACCAGGCTCATTTCAGGGTGTGTTTTATGATTGTGCCCTGTTCTGGTTGTCAGCCAAAAAACATGCAGTTTCCATAGTTTTGTCTAGTAGGAATGGTGATAATTGTGCTAACAATACTTGGAAGAGATCAACCAATGCTGCTGGCAAGCCAGCTAGCAGCCCAAGGACATAAGTGAGAACTATGGTATCTCAAAGACTGTTTAGATCTGATTATTCCAGGCAATATTTTCTAGAAACTATACACTTTTCAAAAGGCYGGGACCACTTTTGTGTAGATATGGCTGTTGTGAAATTGATGATGTTGCTGGTTTGAGCCCAGGTCAGAATGATAGTCRGAAATTAATTAATGCTCGATATTTAACGATGACTAAACTATAAAGRTTTACGTAGATAAATAGATTAGAGGCTGCTGCTAAGCTTCAACTGGCATAAAACTGGTACTTTCAGTTCACATTAGCAAAGATCAATATACCATAGAAATACTTGGCGGAGAGAAGGGGTTTAAAAGAATAGAATTGTCATGAAGGATATTCTGACACAGTTAATGAGAGTGATTTCTTAGCCGTTAAACTGGTCCAAGCAAGGCTTAGAGACTGAAGTCTTAGTGATTTTATCATGTTGTGTATTATCTTTATGTGTCACAGACACCAAGTATGTCTTTGTGTTACATGTAAATGCTGAGTGTGTTTTCTAGATAAGTCAAGTATTTCCTAAATCTGGAAGTGTATAGGGTCTAGATTCTTATGGTGAAGTTACCATGCTATCACAGGCAATCAAACTATATAAAACCATTGCCAAACAGATCAAACTCCATCACGCAAGTCACTGGGACTTGGCCTTAACAATACACTGGGAAATATGCCCTAGAATTTGCTATATATTGATTGAAGACCATACCATTTATATACAGTGAGTGAATAGGGTAAGAAAATGAGTAAAAAAGCAGGTACTTTAAGGAACGTTTTAGGGAGCACTGGACACGTTGGGTAGGATATCACAGTATCCAGCCTTACAGTTAAAAAAAAGCTTGCTATTTTTGTTACTGGTGGAATAACCATGTTTGTATTCAATCAAAAAACATTTGATCTGCCTATCTCTGATTTTTGCTTCTCCCATTAGATGCAATTGAGGTCAAGTAGTAACAACTGAAATTAATGAAAGACCAGATTTTTAGTTTCATACCTCATACAGCCTCTCATCTATACTGTCTAGAATATAAGATTATAAYAGCATATGAAGACACTAATTCTTATAATTATTGTTCATATTTCTCCTTTTTTTTACAGTCCCCCTGCTGTTTGTTSCACCCACCTGTTGTCTGTGCTCGAATTGGCTTGTAATATCTTTGCACATATATTTTTATACAGTACTTAAAACAGAGTGTTTCTCATCCTGTCTGAAACATCTGGATGGTAATATCAACTAATTTTCTAAAAATTTTCTTCTTAAAATGGATTTTTTTGTAGAAAAAAAAAAGATAGATGAGACAGTTTCAAATATGCTTAGTAATTATCCCCAAATATGACTGTCTTTCAGGGCGAGATGTTTTTTTCAAGGGAAGGATGTCTTAGYGATGCTCTTAGTAGGAAGCCGATGGAATTCAGTCTTGTTTGTTCCTCCTTGCCTGCAGTTTCTGAATTGTTAAAGCCTTTTGGATACCCAGATGTTACACTGATGTTTTGGAACTCTGAAGTTTTGATTCAGGTTCCTGCATCCGTTCACATATACACTGTTTGCAGTTTGAAACTCTAAAATCATGTATTTATTACCATCCTTACATTTAGTGTGGGAGTTAATGGTCTGTGGGGAATTCAAACTGTGGTTGAGAGTCTGGAACTCCTTTTCAAATTTTGTACTGAATTACTGTTTAACCTTCAGGAAGCCACTTACCCTTTCTTTTCCTCCCTTTTTCCTAGACTGCAAAACAGGAATATTAATACTTCCCTAATGCACAAGGGTGTTGTGAAATATAATTAACTTGTTTAGAGCAATCTAAGATCTGCTATTGAAAGAAGAGCATATGCATTGCAATTAAATGCTAAAACAATTAGGAGGGAGCAAAACAGCCTGTCATCATACACAGATCACATCAATTAAGAAGTAAGGTTGTCTCTGCACTTTACAGCTAGAGGAAACTAGTATCACGTGCTTCTTTGAAAACAGCAAGCATCCAATTGAGTTCCCCCTTAGAAGTATCTAAACACCTTTGATATTCCCCAGCTGCTGCGTCAGAGGGGCTCAAGTCTTCCATATGTCCTTTGTCACATGCCATAGAATTTTTCACGTCACTTGAAACACTTCAAGTGGCATTGGACACCTATATGTGGAACAATGAGCTGAATCTCAAATGCCTTCATGCAGRTATCAGGATTGGATCATCCCATGATGACTGGAAAATCTTCAACATCAGCTACTCAATACAAATTAAACTGCTGGTAAAGTGTTACAAATTGCTGCAGTACCTGCTTTTTCTGTTCTTTTATTCAAAGAGACCAATGCAGAAGGTGGACTGGATTAGAAAGGCGTAGATGAGTRGAACAAAGGTGTTCATTTCTGTCCTCTGTTTTCAACAAGAAACATGAAGAGAAGTAAAATGCATCTCTGAGCTAGACAGTATGTTTCTGCACTAGTTGGTCAGTTATTAGTAGATCAGAAGATGAAGACTGTTCTGGGAAACTGAAATGTGTGAAAAAGTAGCTCTGATCCCCACAAATGACCCCTGGTCAGAGGCCACTGACCCTGTCCTGATTGTGTCACAAATTTGAATTGGCTACTTACCCACACATCTGATAGACTGGGACTCTGCTGTACCTAGTAAACATGGGTTGTAGAACACTGCAGGGAG